CACCTCCAGAAATGGCAACATCGGTGAATGTGAAGTCGGAGCAAGAATCACTTCCGCAAAGGATGTAGTAGTTGTATGCATCGTCAGTGGCGGTACCTGTTATGCCGGAGAATGTAATGCCGGAGATTTTAACACCGTTGGTTGGTTTACCGGTAGCTCCACCGTTCAAGTAATCTTGCTGGACATCGATACCGTAATCGCTGATGTTGGACATCTTGATGTTGGAGTAGGTGACGTTCTCAATGGTACCGGTGGTTTCAGCGTTGGACTTGATGCGGCATCCGTTCTGACTGTTGGTGATGGTGGAATCGGAGAATGTAACGCCGGAAACAGTGTTGTTGGACTTTCCTCCAACGGATCCGATGGAGAGACCGTGACCTCCTGAACAGGTCATTCCGGTGACGAGAATGTTGGATCCAGATGTGACGGCAACGCAATCATCTTGGTTCTTGACGACACAGTTCTCGAGGGTTACGGAGTCAGAGCCAGAGATATCGAATCCATCACTGTTGTGAGCGGCTGGGTCATCACCAGACTTGGAGTTAGGAGCATCTCCAGCAGAGTTGTCGAGGGTAAGTCCAGAGACAGTAAGACCTTGGGCACCGGTAATGTCGAAGCAGTGAGTAGGCCAGTTTTGAATGTTGAGGTTGGAGATGACACCGTTGACGACATCCTTGACGACGAAGAAATGATCAGGTTTGTCGCTTCCTCCGTTAGAACCCTTTCCATCCCAGTATGCAGCTCCGTTTCCATCAATAACGTGTCCAGCAGCTCCAGTAATGGTAATATCAGTACCCTTGACAATAATTGGGTTGAAGTCAGAATCGGCAGTGGTTCCGAATGAAGTAGTTCCGGAGAAGGTAACGGTGGATCCGTCTTGGAGTTTTTGAAGATCGATGGTGGAGCTTGCTGGAGCAGAGATGTTGTCCAAAACAATGTTTGTGCAAGAAGCAATGATGTCAGCGATATCAGCGTAAGCTGTAGCTGTGCATCCAGCTGGGGCAGCTGGTGCCGATGTAATGACTGCAGTGCTTGCACCTGCAGTGGATGAAACGGCTGGGACCGACGTGCTGGCAACAACACCAGTTGTTGCTTTGTGAGCTAGAGCAGAGACTGAGGCAGTGACAGATTTGACGTAAGAGCTTCGAGCGTATGAGCTGGCAGCTGCTGCACCTGAGCTGGCAGCAACTGGGGCGGCAGCGGCGCTTGAGGCAGCTACGCCTGAGGCGGCACTTGTGCTCTTCTAATGTCGAATTAGCACCAATATCAAGACACGAGTATTTCCTTCTGGAAGGGAGTACTTACGGCAACAGTAGCCAAGGTGGTTGCTACATGAAGACAACTGCATGCGCTAGACAATTTCTTTGGGTTGTTTGCGCAAGCGGTAGCGAAAGCGGGAAGACCAGTGGAAGCTGAGTTTGCAGCTTGGGTGTAAGTAGCACAGAAAGGACCAGCTGCGGCTGAGGAAACGGTGAAAGCATTGGCACAAGCATCGTTATCTGGGTTGTCGCAAGCGAGAACAATTGAGGCCAAGCCTCCGAGGATGATCGCAGAACGCATTTTGACCGGCAAGTTTATGTTCAACGAATGTAATTGTCTTAATAGTAAAACGAAAAGGAAGGTATGAAATTGAAAAGAATGTAAATGTAAAGAGTGATGATACTTCGATGGTATGATTTAGCGCGGAGAATTGAGAAGTTATATACAGAAGCACGATGGAAGAAATTGTCTAATACAAGGGTCTATGTCATCGCCATCGGATAGAGACTCTCGTGTGCTACCGCCGGAGCTTACATGGAGGAAATTACAGGAGGCTGTTCGGAGAATTGAATTGATTGTAAAGTTGCTCCCAAAAAGCGTTTTTTAATATAAGTTGTGGAGAAATGGGCAAAGAATCTAATGCACTTGCACACACACACATTTGGGGACTTTTGGGGGGGTTCATGGGTCTAATTGTTTGTTTGTATGGGGGTTTGGTCTTCTGTTTATTCTCAAAAGAAATTGTATTGTATTATTGGGTAAATTGACAATGTACCCCTGATTCCCAACAACCGCTGATGGGAACCACCATGTTTACAGCGTACGCGTAAATTTTTAAAATGCTACTCTACTTGAAATACCGGTGATGGCTGTGCTGGCTGTGCTGGACGTTCATCAGACGTTAAACATCGCCAATCTCAAACGCTTGAGATCTACGCATACGCTGCGCACCAGAGATCTTGATGTTGAACACCCGACTTGGCTTCATATATATGATCTCTCGTATGAAGCTTGTGCAATGCTTAAGCAAAGCTTGGAAAAGGCTTGAGAGGCTTGACAGGTCTTGGTAAGTTTGTGTTGTCACAGATATGTGATATCTTCCCCTTAATTAACGCTGCTCCTTAGATCCGCCATGTATGCCAAGTCGCTAACAAGCTCGATGTTGGTGATTAGAACGCTTAATAGAGTAAGATTCTAAAATGATTATCCGGATATTTCGTTCAGTATTCGGGACCGATCATCGTCTCGCTGCGTAAATAACGGTCAAATATCAAAGCATTGATTATGGGATATTCTAGAATTTGTTTCAGAGCTCAATCCGGATATTTCAACATCCAATCGCTCAATTTAGGCTCAGACTTGCGTAGACAACCCAATTTCAACGATTTCTCTTGTTTCCAATTGATGAATCGGATGGTTTAGTAAAGGGGATACTTGAGTGGATACACATTGTTAATCCTACTTCTGTTCCACTGTATTCCACCTTTAATATATTTCATACCAAAGGAGAATATTCCCCGATAACTTTCTCTGCGGACAATTGATTTCATTTTCCATTCATACCCAAGTCACTTACTTATCTTATCAATCCCTTCCGACGATGTATGAAATCATCGCATCTAGTACGAAGTGCATAGTAGTTCTAGGTTCATTAGGTTTACGGATGCACGCCTACCTAGCTCTCCGGTAAATACTCTCCATATGCACTGCCCTTTTTTCACGATTCATATCAATCTACCTAGTCTATATGTAGGAGAAAAAACAGGCCGGAATTGACCACTACGCAATGATACGTGCACCCTCACCAAAACAACGAGTAGAGAGCATTGGTCAATTCCGGCCCGTTTTTTCTCCTACGTATAGCTAGTAATTCTGTCGTTACTAAATTATGCTCACGTGACAACTAATATATTTCACTCCATGATCCTTTTCGCTTCAATATCGGAAACTTCCCTAGGTACCTTATAGGGAATTAGGGTAATTTAGATCGGTTCTATATCGGATATTCGGATATTCAATTGTATTGCAACTGGCGAATTTACTTTTTGTGATTTTAATTTAGGTTGTAATTCATTCGAATAAATGTTTAAACTGAATATAAATTAGATGGTTGTAGAGTTTTCAATGGTTGTAGAAGGGTTGTAGAATGAATATATTGCTTAGTAATCTTGAAAGTTGAAGTTATTCAGAGTTCTAATACTAGGAGTTCAATTAATTATATGTGTACTCTCTATTCCACCCTCCTGTAGAACCCTATTCGACACCACCAGACCAAACTTTAGCTAATTCGAATTATTCTGAATTCAGATTTTCAAAATGTGTTGAATTTGAAGTTCTATAGCAATAACGAGTTCTTTGTATATAAATTTTATATATTTATTAGGGTATCTATTAGCGTATTTGTTAATATTAATTAGATTGATAGAGGGAAAGGAGATTATGTAAGAATGTGTTTAGATTTAAGCTTTAAATCTAAGATATATTAAATAATCCTTGTATTAGCTTCAATTTATTCAACTATTTGTTGTTTTGAATTATTTATTAGCTTTAACTATACTAATTCATTTCAGAATATTGAAAACTACAGTTTTAATTTAAATCTGATTGAAAACGGATTTAAAAATTTCAATGGTTGTATAACAGATGCATTAATTCAATTAGTTGTATATCGATCCTAAAAACCCCCCTTTTCCTATACGGTATACGTATGCCCTCTATATTATCTCTCATTGATAGGGGTTCACAAACCCTGAGTCCTCACCGCACTCGTTCCTATCTTCTCATCATAATCATTGTTTCTTACAGTATATATACCTACCTACCTATTATTGTCGGAAGGTATTTGATGAAGTACTGATCGATTCATCTTCCAAAGTTCACCAGTTCCCATAATACTCGACACTACATACACCAACGCCTCGCTGCGTTTTTCACCGGTTCTTTCAGTTAACAATATGTCCTTCTATCAAAGGAGATCTGCAGTACCAGCTATCGAACACGGTAGTTGTCAAATACCATGCCTAGATCGTTCCAAGAAAGTGCTTCGCTCTCCTGCAAGCTGTAACAAATAACGTTCATGGCAAAGGGCGTTTGAGGATTGATGCACTTCGCCGTCCTGTATAACTTCCAAAGCTTTGATTTGGACTTCTTCTGCTTCCTATTTGGATCGCGTTTTCATATCTCTCTCTACTGCTACGGATAATAACGCTTATGGAGAACATTGGTATTCAATTATCACTTGATACCAGACCTTTAGCCTTCTTTTATGATTATTCAAACAACCAACTAATATCTTCTCCGATTTTTCTTTCATACCGAATTTTACTCGCGAAGGTGGTCTACAGGCGGGCATTTTAGTCTCGAAGTAAACCCCTTTCGATCAAGTCATTGTTAAATCTGGCAATGTGTTACACGAACTCTTTGTCGAGAACCGACATTCATTGTCCTTGACATTCTATTATGAATCAACTTTGCACGTCCAGTGTTGTTGCTTTCAAACTTCGTCGGCAAAATTTCGCATCTTATTTTAAGCATAACTATCGTATTGTCTGATTGATATGCCATTCCGTCAGGCTCCAGTAGGACTCTTTAGTCCATTGACCGCTGCGGAGATAGTGGAACTTAGTACAGTCATCAACTCACCTGCTCCTCTTCCACCATATGTACCACTCCGCGTCCAGCTCGCTCCGAATAATCTTGGATAGGGAGGGAAAGTCACTACACGACATGAAGTCATGATCATGCCTGGTTGGCGCGGGCCTGGATATGCCGGAGTACCTGGGAACCCTGTTCCCCCTGGTACATGGTGGATACCCATAGCATACGCAGTAAACAAATATCTTCGATTGCTTTGCGAGAGAGTGAACTCCCTTTGTCCTCGCCCGGCAAATGGTGTAAATGATATCCCCTACTGTGCATTCATCGGGGCAGAGCTTTGGATGCCACCTCCGGGGGCATATCCCGCACAAACCATTCGTGACCCGGCCGCATGGGATGTACTAACTCAGACAGTCTATAATGTTCGGAATCCTTTTCATTTTTTTACTGAGATTCATACCTGAGTCTGTTCTCTGACCCCAAGTCCTACTTCCTCTTTCCTCAAATGCCTTCCTTATTCTCCTGGGTTTGCTACGACTACTCATTTCTCGTCTAGTCAAGAATTTTCCCCGGTAAACAGCCACTGACAATCTGACTTTGACAGACATCAGGGTTATTTATGGCGGTCCAAAGAGGGATGTTACAAGGTCTCTTTCGAGTTACTCCTAGGATGCTACATTCTCACGAAACTGCAAGATCTAGAACGCTAGCTGCTCAGGCATCTCATATATTTATGCAAGTGGCTCGTAATTAGTTCACAAATGCTAGTACCGGATGAAAATCCCACATTCCTTATTTCGTCTTCCACGGGATCTCTTCTAAGTTAATAATTGTAATTGCTCACCCCCTGACCACGAACAGGTAGATGATCGATTCGGGCCAGGGTTCAGGCATCACACGCTGATAGTAATTTCACCTAAACGGAAAACAATCAATTATCTGGATGACTACAACGGACAGATCTTGTTCCCCCACTCCCAAGGCACTATATTGTTGAGCAAAAGCTCATCGGTCAAATCTTGAACTTTCTTTCATCGTACATGGGAGGTACTTCTATAAGTGGAAATGAATTCAGCCCAAAACATTGGATGATGCGAACCAATGTTTCTGCTCAAAATCCGATTCCAGGACCTGCAGCTGCTATAGACGCACAAAACAGTGCTGCAATGGTCTGCCACAATGCTCTCATGATCGCAATGGGGTATCGTCTCGACTTTTTCAGACATATTCCTGCTGGCATGACTCAAGCTCAGATGATCGCTAATCGCCGGGGTCAAATTGCTCTCGAGCTCCACCGTGGCCAGTTGGCTCTCGCCTCAAGTCGACAATACATAGCACCCATGTGGCCGGAGCAAAGCGACAATTTTCGATACACAAGCGGATCTACACAGTACAAGAATCTCATTGCCAAGCACTGCAATTACGGAGTCGTGGAAGAGCTGTCCCGTCGAGATCGCGCGAGATGGTATCGAGGTGTGCCGCCTAAAATCGATTTTGACATCGGTCGCAGGATAACGAAGGCTAATCTCATTCGTTACGGTCTGACGCGAGGAATCCCCATACATAATATGCGGTATGCTTCATGGGGTCCGTTGCGGAATATCATTGAAAAGTTCGATTACATGGCAAGAACGCAGGCTAATGGCAACCCGGCTATTAATCCTCCTTCGTATTGATGCATTTATTGGACCGTTTTGCTATGCCATTATATCTGTGTGGATTTCTTATCACTTCAAGTCATTTGAAGTGGCTTACAGGTCAACCGTTTCCATTTCTATACTTACAAAATGTTGATATATATTCATCAGTCAGGTACCATGTAGTTTAATTCGCATTACATCCTCTCGTAGTGCTTTCAAATTGAGCCTGCGTGGATGGCTATGTATTTATATATGAAGAATGTTTTAGTTTAGAAATAAACAGTTCTTAAATTTATTCCACTTGATTCCTGGTTCGATACACACGTCCGCAGTATTAAATAAGTAATTAGCGATATGAGATCAAGTCAATTATGATCTTGAGTCCCACATTTCAATCTGAATTTAAGAACTTGATAAAGAATAATTGAACATCCATTAACATTTGAATTCCGAGCCTTTCATCATGTTTGAGTGAATGATAGATCCTTTCGCCTAGAAGAATTGTCTCCTCTAAATTTTATGCGGGAAGTTTCTCGTGTTCTCCTATTGCACAAGCGAGTATATCTTCGGTAATAGTGTTGTGTGTACCTACCTACGCCTCATCCGTTTGTGTTACTCGGGCACGCTGTTGAATTGTATACAGTTTGAGGCAGGTCAATGAATCCTGATCAAGGTTTATATCTATCCACTTTGGAGCTATTTGTTTCAAAGAATAGAAGGCACAAAGCCTCGATATAAGATGGGAATAAGTCCAAATTTAATGAAAAATGAATCAAATATATCAAATACACTAATAACAGATCCCCAATTGCTCAAAACACACAGTAATTACCAATCAAACAAGCGTACAATAAAAAACCCAACAACGAAAAGTAAAATAACGATAAAAGTGTCGAAATTCCCCTGACAGTCTCTTGAAATCAGAAAAGAGTACAGAACACCGGTAATCCAAGACCTGCTTAAACCTCCCTTTTACGTTCGCCAGACGGTTTACTACTTCTTCAGCTTCCGAAAAACCTTTTGAATATCTTTGATGGACTCTTCTTTCTCTTCTTCTCTTTCTCTGGTGGGGCATCGTATTGAGCGAATATGTCTGGATTTGGAGTGTATTGCTCGGTTTTCTTATGATGTTCTCTACCTTTATCACTGGCTAGCCTTGGATTTATGTTACCGTCTGCAGGGTAACGAGATTTCGATTTCTGTTCAACTACCGGCCTTCTCGGCGTCCCAGCTGGAGGGTTTGAGTCTCTCATAAAATCCTTATAGTAGCGACGATAGTTCAACGGCGCTTCATTTACTGTCCTTTTTTGTGTATTAGCTTCAGGGCTTGGGTTTCTCGTTCTGTTTTGACCCGGGATTTCCCACGCACTAACTACATCTGGTTGTCGGATAGGCTCGAAACTGTATTCTCTTCTTGGTTCCTTTGAATTTTCATTTCCATGGCGTGGTTGCCGATTCGCATGTTCCCTCGACTTTGCCCTTCCTGATGGCGCTTTAGTATCCCGGGGTTGTTCTCGGTTATTAGGATTCACAGTCGGCTTGGATCTACTTTGACGAGACCCAGAATCTACTAGTTCCACCTCCGAATCATAACAAAGTTGTGCTGCCTCTCCTTCGCTGTAAGAAGAAGCTGGCTCTGTATGAATGTTAGATACTTGGATCTCTGTTTTTGTGATCAGAGGTTGGAAATAACTTACGCTCTATCTTCGCTGACTTTGGTCTCGCATCAGCTACGCGATGTTCTAAGTCTTCCTTGAAGTACTCGCGCCTAGATATTTCTGCTATCGTGCCATTGATTTTATCAGTATCTGCAACCCTATTACTATCATGTTTTTCCTGACGACTTCTTGATCTGGTTCTTCGTCTGTGATCAGAAGGTATAGCCTCCTTTGCTAATTTTACATGACTCAATTCTTGGACAGGGTCGCTGTAAGCGTCATTTGGGCCGTATTTACCCGGTATCATGGTTATCGATTGGGCCTTCTTAGAACGAGTTGACGTCCTTGAAGCTGCTCGTGGTCCCCGATCTGTATTATATCCCGAGTCCGAGTCCGAGTCACTATACGGATCGATCTTTTTTTTACTTCTAGTGGTACCAGCAGTAAAATGATCATGATTACTTCTCCGTCCTCTACTCCTAAATTTCGTACTACTATCGGTACTACTTCCGCTCTGACTTCCCTCACCATCACTATTCTGAGTTCCTCGTGGCAAAGTTTTGGGGTTGCCTTTATTTCTGCGGTGTGCACCATTCCGTTCAAGTCCACTTCTTTTCGAGACTGTAAGATCCTCCAATGGTCGCCAACCGTGAGAGGAACCATCCTGTGGTAAAGGCTTTGCTTTGGATGAATGGCTGGACGATCGTGAGGCCATTTTAGCGAACAATATAAGGAAATCCTAGGATATTTCACTGGAACCCACAAAGAAATATAAACTTTTTCAATAAGGTTTCATGTACCCAAGAAGTAGCCCAGATATCTAATACTACCAACAAGGAAAACAAGCACTGCATCGCCATTTCTCGAGGTCCGAGGATTTTCCCCTGAGGACGATGTCATGAGGGCCGACCATACTGAACGTAAAAAGTCACTTCATTTCATCCTAAAATTCTCGGTGCGCCTACAGAAATTCACGAGAAGAATCGGTTGTCCATCATCAGCCACATCTGGCCTGCATCTCTTGGCCGAGTTCGGCCACGTGATGATTGACCCTATATTGCCGCGCGCTTGATCTGCGTTCATATATTGTTGTCCGCATGTAGACCCAATAGTCATTTCATTATGACGTATCTTGATTTGAGTGGTTTGAGGAATTGATAGCATGATTGGTGTAGTAAGGAAGAGGCCCAAAGAGATTGTAATCTGGAGATCAATGCCCCACGCTCCCCGATCACGATCGCGATTCTTTTCTAGAATAATCCTTCCCGTAGAAGTGTGGGCACTGCCTAGGTAGTTAGGGTTCGCGATTTGTAATGTTCGTAAGCAACAGTACATTCTCGTGTATGTTGCGATCAAAGAATTGCGCACGAGGTGAACGCATCGCTTCTCACCAACTATTGTGTGAGATGATCACACCTGCAGCATAGTTCTCATCAATTTGTACTTCATCATGAATGGGAATTGTGGGTAGCCTTTTCATTCTCCGCCACCAGCAATTCCGAGTGAACAGAACTCAGAAGTATGACAAGCAGACAAAACAAGCAAAAGAAAGAACGAAGGTTAGAAAGATTCACTGTCCTACATGCACAATAGCTAGCACTAGACATCAAGAGAATTATCTCTTGATTCCATAGTCGTTACACGATAGCCATTACAATGCAAGCCTCCGCATACCTCTTATAAAGAAAACAAATTGCTGTAAGCAAGACGAGATGATAATATACACTCAAGATGTCAGATCATCAAAACAACTAAAACTTGCATGTAATATAACACCGAATAATCCCAGAGTGAAAAATTAGCCTATCTACTAAACGCTGAAGCCAAATGGGAGAATCAATGTCCCATGTACCAAAACCCTTTTGTATCCTCAAGTCCAACTCCTAAACTACAAAGCCTAATCCAGTTTAAGATCTCAATCCCCCAACCCTCTCATCTCTCTGTTCTCTCCACTTCCTATAATCATCACTAACGACCACCGGAACACCCATTCCCCTTGGCCACATCCATCTTCCCTCTCCCTCTGAACTCCACACCTTAATCATACCTTCGAACGGCGGCTCGTCTCCTTCTTCCGGAGAAGGAGGGAGTGTCTTGTTCAAGAGAAAATCATCCTGTGATGGGTCATTACTCCCCATCTTCTCATGTTCTTGCACCTGCAATCTTCCCCTGTTCAATCTATATTTCCTAGGCGGAACATCCATGAACCCCACATCTTCTTCATCCGAATAATAGTCTTCTTCGTTTACCAGTAACGATCTCTTGACCTCGTCCTGCTTTTCAATTTGTACGTATGCTGAGCGCCCGAAGGCTGTGGATGTGAAGGTGGTATTTTTTGGAGAGGGGCCTGAGGACAGGGAGAGGCATGAACCCATTTTTGAAGGGGTAGATATGGATGTCGAAGAAGAGTTGGGATGGTGGTTGGAGTGGGATCTACGGAAGAGGGTCGTAAGGAGCGAAGACATGTATGAAAGTGATAATTGGTACGATTGGTATGATAGGTATGGAGAGAATATAGGAAACAAAAATGAATGAACTACGTGAATGGAATTTAATAATCACAATGAAGCAGGTGCAGTCTGAATAACAAGAGATCCACGAGCAGAAAAAAACGCAAATATCAACAGCGACTGAAAAGAAAGTACCAGACTTCAGATACCGGAAAACACAAAGTAGGAAAATAATCGCAAACCAGCGAATCTACACCAAACGCGTTGATTCTAATATCATTTAAGAAGGTCAATTCTCGGTATTTCCAACAGCCTCAGGAAGTCAGAATATCTTTCATTTGTTGGAAGCGCGAAACGGAGGCTGAGCTTGACGCCAACCATGAAAGAGCCGCATTGAATCCTAATTCAACCATAACTTAGGCAATCATGGCTATCACCGACCGTGATGACGGGAGATGAAGATATCTGTAGCCTACATGGATCTGTTGGTTGGTAGGATGATTACATGTTTTGGGGATTTGCTCGCACGGTTATAGAAGTTTTTGCGGGGGTGGGTATCAGACATTGATATAACATTAGCTCTCATAGCTTTGACGCATGGATCAAGGTCAACATCGATATGATCCTCCCCGAAACCAAGAAAGCAAAGTAGTGAAAATGAACTCTCTGTGAAAGCCATAATTGATGTTGGCTCTTTTGCAACAAAGACAAAATGGAAACTGGTAAGTAAAAGGGCAAGTAATACATTGTTGATTGTAGAACTTTGGAGGGTGTCCAGCTTACTTCCATTTCAAATAATCAATCTGTTCTCATCATAATCTGGCCATGGTTCCATATTGTGTTGGTCATCGCTCTTCTCGCAATTTCTCCACGCAGCTCATAAAATTTGTCTTTCGGTGAAATTGCTCTGCATGTCGTCTGGCAAAGATCTCAATGTCCACCATTTCCCTTAGACTCTTTCTCTTTCTTTTGTTGCTTGATCATAGCATCGATCCTGGCAAAACTTCCAAACCCCTCAATCATACAGCTCGTCATCCATTTCCACCACATAGAACTTCCCCTCTCGATATTGTACTTCATAAGTCTGCTCCTATCCATCCAAATGACTTCCATCACATGTAGCGCAAAGGTTAGCATAGCAATCTTGTTAGAAATCCACAAGAAAGTTTCTGGGCCGCCTGGAAACCATGGCAACACATTGTCGTAGAAGAATGTACCAGGTACAATGTGCGATTTCGTAACAAATACAACCATCGTTATCAAACACAAGCCGAAAACTAATCGATGCAAGAAAATCTTCGGGGGCTCGTAACGAGTAATGGTATATGGAGAGATGTTGAGAGCTTCACGGCACTCGGAATCCATAGCAACAAATCGAGGTCGAGCATCGGCGTAGGAAGTCATGGGAGGATCAAGGGGGATAGTGTGAGTTTTCCCAGACCTGGAAGAGATTCGGAGTGAGGACAGGGTGATATCGAGAAGGTTCGGCTTGGAGGCTTCGCTTTTGGAGAGCTGACAGTAGTGCTGTAAGTAGAGGGACAGAGAACCAGCGTGATCTGCGTTCATGTGTTTGAGGATGCGAGCTTTAGTAGCGGCATCTTTCTCGGATGAAGCCATACTCAGATAAATCAGGTGTGCTGACAATGATTATTGAGATCTATGGAAGATTCAAGGTATGACAAAAAATGCTGTCTTTTGGAGTCGTGCAAGTTGTTCAAAATGGAGAGCTCGGGAGTAAATAATTGAGGTTCACGGTGAAACCTCGGCTATAGTCGGGTGTACCTCTCCCGACGATACGCTCTCTACTCGGTGTTGTTTTAAATGAATGCCGACCTCACTTTAGCCAGTGTATATCACACCAAAATTCATTGAAAGTCATCTAATTCGAAATTTGATATTATTTCAATTATTAGTATTTAAGGTATAAGTTTTGGGATGTATATAAATTTTTAATTGAATTTTTTATATATATTTTCAAAATATAATATTTTGATATATATATATATTAAGTTATTTGGAAAATCAAAATATTGAAGATATAAAAATCAAAGTTTGTTTATTTTTAGACTTTAAATACCTAAGGCCAATTTTACAAAAATCATTATTTGAAAGGGATTTTTAATATATAAAAGATCTTTTAATTCAATTCTTAAAGCTTTAAGATTTTGATATATAATTTATTTATTAATATTTTACATATATTCAAGATTTAAATAATCTAATTATATTACTTCTTTTAATATTGAATTTTGAAAATACTAAGTAAGTATAGTTTTGGGTAAGGAATTCGGCTAGATTTGAGGTCGGCATTCATTTAAAACAACACCGAGTATGGAGTATGCTTGTGATTCTCAACTGCGATGGTAAAATCATGAACTTGTCTCCTTGTCAATGATAATCTTCTACATGAAATTCGTTTTCCGGGGTTCCCGTTTACTTGCGGACAATCCATACATAGAATCTTGCAGGAAATATTACACAGCGAGGTACTCGCCTGGTACAACATGATTATCTTTTAAGTCCACTGGTGGTCAAAGAATTAGCCTCCCAGAAGTCCCTCCTCAATGTTGAACTTTTTTACTAGCGTAGCATTCCCAACATAATAGGACGTGGGAACCCTCCTTCTCTAGATCCTCCTGATGTTCTGTTTCTATCCTCATTGCCTCGTTCCATCTTGAGAGCCTACAAGTAGTTTGAGGAAGAGATGAATGTGTTTGTCTGTTTGTTTAGCTATCCAATGGATGAATCTCGCAGATGATATATTCTCAACAATATATTTCCATGGTCGACGTCAAATCCTAACTCAAGCTGGAGAACAGCTTCGAGAACGGTCTGCAAATTTTCGTACCAGGTCAACCTGGCGTTGATCAATATGATTAGCCTCCACACAATTTTATCCTGGTGGATGTGATAATATCCTCCAACCAAAAGCTGACGACTAATTACCCACCCAACTCAAAAGTTCCTCGAAACAGGTGTAAACGTCCCTTAATCTCTTGTACAGTTCCAAAATATGTTGTACCTCAAAGCTATGGTCTTACACACACGTGGAGGAAAGAGGGCCAGGTACTAAGAAAGTAGGGCTCCGTCCCTGACAACTTGTTACTTCTGCAGTATGTGTGTGGTTCCCCTGCAGCTAGAGGATGGCATGAAATTAGTGAGAGTGGCTTTTCGACTAAGCTGCTAGGTTGTTGGATTCGTTACCCGAACAGGGGGGAAAGTGTGCCGATGTGACGAAAGTGAGTATCTAAAAGCCACAGCCAAA